GTGAAGACTGAATCATGGCCATGAAAGTCCCATAAATACACATTTCCTCACTCACTGCATGCAGTGTGCAGATACAGCAGCAAGCAAGATGAGAGAGAGTTAATGCTGTACACCCTCCTGCGCTGCATTCACGTTATTTAAAGGACGGCACACTTTTCTGAGCCTTGTTTTAAGAATACCTCTTACTGTAGCAGTATGTCAAATATTTTGGTTGATATTTAAATAATTAATGAATGCTAAACTCTCCTCTTTTTTTTAATAGAAGAATAAAACTGTCATATTCAGAAGCTGACCTTTTTTTACTCTGCTATACAAACCCATTAACAATACCGAAAAACATATCCCAAACATAAAAAGCTTTGAAATATCAATTTAAAGGCTACTTTCTGCTATATCCTTTATTGTAAATGTTACCAAGAAAAAGGCAGAACCCAAAAATCAATTTTTAATATATTTCTTCCTACCACAGGATATCGGAAACATTAATGGTTTCTACATCAACATGGCTACCTTACAAGCTCTGCTCTTCCCACATTTGCCTTTAAAATATGATTAATGTATGTTTGCATATATATTTAAAGTACTCCTCCATGTATATTAATTAACAATAACACAGTATAAACAACTTTCCCATTGTTTGATTACCCAGAATAACAGCTTGATATTTATACAGCTGCTGCAACTTAGTCAAGAGAAAATGTTGCACATTTTTGATTAGCTAACTGGATTCCAAACAAACCAGGAATCCAGGCAGGAACCAAACTTTTGAAGTTAAGTTTTGAAGACACTGCTGTTTTGCAGAACTGAAGTACCTCTAGTACAGACATTTTTTGAGAAAGTTTTCTGCCTTTAAACTTTCAATGGTCAAGGAATACTGATTAAGTTGTAGAAGTTCCACTGGAAATAGGCATCACAATGAAATTATTTAGCAGTAGCTAAACTGAAGTGAGTGTGTATGAGTGATGGTTATGAACAGCCTTGTGCAATCTGAGTGTGGAAATGTTCCCTTTATTTTTCTTCTTTCTGCTGCTTCCAAAGAGTCTTCCCTTTCTATCTTAAGTCCATACATACAGACAATTCTGCAAATTGTAACATTCCCTATTTGGAATCAAATTTCATCCTATTGCTCCTAGTCACTCCAGTTTCCAGGCTTTCTTCACCACTATTGCTCAACCTAATCCATCAGGTTTTTGGAGATGAGGGTGGAAATTTCCTCTGTAATCAACAAAGAGAAGTAGATGCCTTTGAAAGCCTGCGCAGAGAGAAATCTGGATTAGGAATCTAATTAATTAGGGATTATGAACTTAAATTACACGGACCTCTCTTTGTTCATAATGTACGTATTTACTTCAGGACGATTGGTTCACTGTGTGCCTAAATCATGAGGATGAGATACAATCTAGATATTTTCCTGAGGTACACATCACGTTCTCTACCACAGGTTTCATGAGGAATTTTTCTTCCTCTCTTTCCAGATCATATATATGTGTATGTTATTATTCTACTAATAAAATAAACCACATGCAAATCAGTAATATCAATCTCAGCCTAAAAGTAGCACACTAGACTGGAAAGCAGAATAAAAGACAACTGGGGAGTATCGAGAGGCTGTGAAGCCACTGCAGAAAATCACTAAACTATGTTTGCTTGGGCTTCAGGTTTTTCTCTTTTATCTACTTTTAAATAGCATCAGCCTTTTCACACTGTCCCTCAATCAGAAATGTTAGTCAATCTACTGGATGGTTTGTGGTGAAGACTGAACCTGGTATTATTGGAATAATCTATGTGAAAATATCACTATTTCAGAAATATACAGAGGTATTGTTACAGTAATACTGCACTATTACAGAATCATTAGAGAAAATTCTCCTGCTGCCTGTAAACACATCATTTAAACTCCACGGTGTTGCACATGAAAAAGCCTCTTCTCCAATCAACTAGAACAGACTTTGCTCTACAAATGTAAACTGGATAAATATTATTCTTAACATATTAAAAGGAATCAATGATAAAACCAACTTTTCATATCACATGAAAGCCATCAATGCATGTCATGTCATTTTAAAGTGATCTTTTAAGTGTTAAACAGCAGAAACCTGAAAGGCCATGAAAAGTTTTTTTTGTTCCCTTTTAGAGAAGGAAGGGAGTAATCCCAGGGATTTACAACTAATTGTACAATTTCATCACTGAATAATTGCAATAAGTAAAAGTCTATTTAAACTATCTTACATCTGTCAGGTCACTGCTGTCAGCTGCAAACTCCACTCACAGCGTATCACAATTGCTTTCTAAATACCACTGCATATCACAAATACCCTCTCAACATTTTGGTGCATCACAGTAAGTTAAGAATGGACTTATCCCCAATTTTAATGATAATCACAATGTCATTAAAATGTAGATTTTATTTTTGCCATGATAGCTGTCAAGCTGTAAGCACAGTAATATGCCTGTGGGAAACCCTATTGAGCCCCTGTAAGGAAGACCTATCTCTGACAGTAAGGAGGGAGCACAGCATTCCTAAAACAATGTGGAAAATGTGAAGTCTCTCAGGAGAAAAAGATTTAATTCACTTTTTCATGTTAGTCGTTGCTACCTATTGATGTCCTAAACCTGCTGCTGAATACTAGGGAATTCAGAGTAAAAAACCATAAGGTAAAGCTTTTACCAGCATGTATCTGAGCATTAATTAAAATGCCTTAAGGCAGAGTAAAACTGCTTCTGAAACATTTACATGAGATGAATAGACCTTGGATAAGGAGGAAAAAAAAAGAGTATTCGCAATAGTTTTCCTTAAAGCTATGCCCATCGGTCTTTAAATACAATGACTTTTTGACTTAAATTCTCAGATCTAAAGCCTGTTGTAAAGAACCCCAAAGTCTGAGAAAATATGGCTGGATAAAATACCCCAGAACTATTTAAAGAAAAAAATAGTGCTTATAGGATTGGTCTTTTAATGGCAGGTTTAGCAGAGAGTGGGTTTGAGTTAGTTTTTTTTCTATTGAGGGCTTTCACAGAGTATTTGTCAGGGAGCCTTTGGGGATACGTAATTTAGGTACATCATCCTCTGTGTACAGTACACACAACACCAAACCACAATTATGACTGAGTCCTAACCTCCTTTCACTTTATCTTCTTAATAATAACCTGTGTCATTACAGAAGACCATTTTTTACTGCAAATGAGGTTGTATGCCAGGACAACTTCCCCTCATCCCATTCCCGCTGCAGTCCTGGTGAGCCACATCAAGTCCCAGGTAACATGTGAGAGACACAGTGTGGAGAGCCTGGCCCCCATGTCCCCATGGGGCACGGGGCAGAGGGCATGCTTCTCAGGAGGGAAGGGTGGTGAGGGACTGGGTGGAAAGCATTAACCCCCACACCCATCCAAGCAGTCTTTGGGGAGGAAATTCTAATTCTGGAGGAATTCTGATTTTTTTCTTTCAGAAATGATGTCACTCACCAACGTGCAGTAACTGCTGTCTGCTGGCCCTTGATAATAGGCAGGTTTTGGGACCATCAAGCTTTGGGCAGCTTAACCCAAACCTAGGTTGGTCTCACCCACCCGCTTGTAAAGTTTGCTTTTCCAGCTACTCCCTGTCACTTCTCTTGTGACTAGCATGTGGGACACGTACCCACATGTCCATGGCACAGCTGATGGGAATGGCACTGCCTTGGTGAGGCTTGATGGGGCTGGAAGTTGCAGGGCCAAAACTGATAAAAGTCTTTGGAAGCAAACTTCTGACTACTCTTAGACTTTCCACAGGTCCTGGCACCAGGATCCCAGCAGGGTCCCCCACCCCCTGGGGAAAACAAGGCTCTGAAGTTGTAATCTGACTTAAAAGCTCCCAGCAGGGAATTAATTCCCCTCCCAAGCAACATTGTTCAAGAAGCTTGGGATCTGACTCCTGAGGAAGTGTGGCAAATTTCTCCTCGGAATTTATTGGGATCATCTTTTAACCCTGGCATCTCATCTTGCCTTTTTCGCCTCGATTAAGGAGCTATCTGCTATCGAAGGTATCGTCTTCAGGTAATACCTTGTAGACCATCATCCCATCATCTCACATCCTCCTCTTGGACAAAGTAAGTAGATTGAGCTTCTTAAGTCTGTAATTGTAGGGCCTATTTTCCAGAGATTGAGTGAATTTGCTACTGACTTTAATGCTGTCAGGATTTACTCTCAGAGCCTCAGCTGATGCAACTTCTGTGCTCAGAGGTCAGAAGAAAATGTAACTAAACCATCGCTGAGATTTTCTGATTCCAAATATCTCCTGCAAATCTCTCACTGTACACTTAGTATTTTGCAATCTGCTTTAATTAAGGCTTAGCAATCAGAAGAAAAAAATCTTTGAAGTTTAACAATTCAATAGTGTGTGAAAATGTTAAATGCTAAGTCCTTTTGTGAAAGCTCTATTCTGTTCTTTAACAAATTTCCAATATATGAAAAAGCTTGTTCAAAGCAGATAAAGAAAAAAAAACTAGTGTTGATAACACCTTGTGGCTAGCATACTCCTTAAATTCAGTTATTTACCAAATGTTATGCTGGTGACAGTGGAGTGCTTGGCAAAACCCGGACAGTAAATCATATAAAATTATACTCCCATGCAACCTTAAATTTTGCATTTTAATTGTCTTTAAACAGATCTTACCAGTGTTATAGCCTAAAATATGCAATACAGCTCTCAATAACAGAAAAACAAACTGAGAGATCAGAAAATAGCAGTAAGAATTATGATTGGATTTGTTTCCTCCCAGTGCAGTGCATTTTATGCCTCTGAAATAGAGTGAGCGAAGTGGAGCCTCCAAGTACTGCTGACTGGACCAGTACTTCAGCTGCTGTCTGGAGTGGGTGCCGGCAGGGAAGAACACACAGGAGGCTGTATAATGGGTACCCTCATGGCTGAAGAACTCAAATCAGAGACTTACAGGCATGTGACAAATCAAGCCAAAGATCCTAATATTTAAGAAAACTAGGGCTGCTTTATTTCCCTGAGAGTTGGGCAGAGCTGTAACAACATACTAAGAGCATATGGAAGTACAACACACTAACCATGGACTGCATTTATAATAGTATTTTTGGACATAACTTAAAAGGACTACTTTGTTTCATGTTTTGGTCTACTTTTGTTGGCAAGAAGTACTTGTGTAATCATGCCTGGGTCCTCATGAAAGGTCTGCTACCCACTGTAGTTTTCACCACTTGAGTGCTCTCACAACTAACTGAACTTGATACCTAGGAAAAAAAGAGCGGTCAGAAACTTCAATACAAATGCTACAATATGTATCCTAATAGCTTTAATGCTGAGAGACTGGTGTTTGGTTTTATTGTTCATAAAATTTGTATTGATAACTACTTAAGCTATATTAATGATTCCCACATATGACTTTCCTAATAATCTATAACAAGCCATGAAATCTACTATTTGTGGTAGGACCCACCCATGAAATCAGGCAACTTTGTCCATAATTTTGTAAGTAATACTATTGTAAATATTGTGGTAAAATATGCAATATAAATGCAAGTGTACCATCATATCCACAGCATATGTATTTATGTAACCATTAAATGGAATAGTACTGCCACAATATTAATACATTTTAGATTATAGTAGCAGAACTAATACACATTAGCTTACATCATTTTCCTACAGTAATTACTGGAATACTACATTATCCATAAGAAACTGCCATCTGCCTTCAAGAACCCAATTTATCTGCCCTTTCAGAGCAGCAGGAGCCCAGCTGGCCTCTCTGAAGACAGAGCTCCAGCTGAGGAGCAGTAACAGATATTTCAGGAACAGCAGAGGTTCACAGGCCAGTGTTTTGGTGATACCAACTTCTTGGAGCTGTGTAGGTACCACTGACATGGGAAGCTCTTTGGGAAATGTTTGCTGCAGAAGCACCCTCACCTCAGAGCTGTGGATGCCTGGCACTTCTGTGTTCTCTACCTTCTATTCTCAGACAAAAAAATCTGATGAAAATGCTGGAGGACAGGACTAGAGGAGTTTTGTTTTGTGATGGTGAGAGGTGGAGGAGTTCTCAGATTAATTTACCAGATTAATGTTGATTCTGATCAATGAAAATTATGAAAGGCCATAAACTCCTCCTGAGATACTCGGGGCTTTTCAGCTTACAGAAAAGGCATAAATACACATTTCACTTATAATGTAAACTGAATATCCTCGTTTGACTAGTTTTAAGGGCTGCCCTAACTCCTGGCCAGAAGCAATCCTTATTCTCTAAGAATTCCTGTTCTCAGGAAAAATGAAATGACAGACTGTTGTCGGATGGGTCAGCCCTTGTGGGACTAAACTGAGCATCTCCAGCCATCAAATGGAGGGTCTTTGTTTCTCACTGCATGAAATGGAGACTCTGAATCCCACAGAGTGTACAGTCACAATGCTATCAGCCTGCTAATTAAATGGATTTCACAAGTTATCCCAATTGGAAAAGTAACAACTATTTTTCCCAAAACTACAGGAAAAATACTCTGTTCAATACAAAAGATTTTCTCCTTGCAAAAAATAGGCAGAACATGGTGAGACACTGGAATGAGCCACACGAAAATCTAGGAAGGTAATACTGGTAAGAAATGTCATAATGGAATGGCTTTCCATTGCAGGATCTCACATTCCCACATGTGATTCCTCTTATTTTTATGTCCCTCATTCGCAAGACATCCAAATCAGTAGCGCAGGACTTTCTAGTGCCTGCAAAATCTTGCATGATATTAAAATGCTAACCGTGTGCAAATACCATTAATTACTAACTGAAGTAATTTTTCTTCTGGGCTCTCAGAAAACCTTTCTAATTCCATTTTCTAGATGAGCACTTCTTAAATGGGCACTGCATATCCACAACAGGAACATGCTGGGGTTGAGGCCAGCTCAAGCATGGGCTGGGCAGAAAGGCTTATGATGGAGAACTTTGCTACATCCATGATTTACCCCTCACGCTGACATGCCCTTATCCACTTCCAACGGGACCCTGAAACCCATCTCATTCCTTCCTCCTGAAGAGGCAGCTGGCAAAAGCTGGGTTGAGGACAGAGATGCACATGTCATAGAGCTAGTTTGCTCATTCCTTCTCTTCTCAGTGTTCCCTCCTAACTACAATGGAATGCTTACTGTATCCCAGTCACATCAAAAGGATGCCACTTGGCAGGGAAACTACTGGGAGAAAGTGCAAGGAGATGAATATGAAGAAGTGCCTAGTTTAGAAACACAGTTGCAAAGGCTAGTAAATCCCTCTGAACTCTGCTCCATTTCTGCTCTATATCCCAGTGTAAAACTGACTCTCAAAGCAAAGACTGGTTCTCAAAGCAAAGAGCAGAGACAGACAGCATGGCAGGAGAAAGACAGTCAAGCAATGCAACTCTGAACAATATCTGTTCCAAGAGAATTTTGCCCCTGCTACTATCACTGGCAGACCTGTAAAGCAGAGGTAAGTCCCAGGACGCAAATTGTGTCCTTCACACCAAGGAACAACTCACTGGCTGTTACTTAGTTGATAGCAACACATCCTGATATGCAGGGACACTTGATGTCCCCACTGCTCTGAAGTGCTTATTTGAATCATGGAATCACAAAATATTTTAAGTTGAAAGGGACCCACAAGGACCATCAAAGTCAAATTCCTGGCCTTGCACAATACAGGCCCAGGAATCACATCATGTGCCTGAGAGTATTGTCCAAATGCTTCTTGAACTCTGTCAGGCTTGGTGCTGTGACCACTGCCCTGGAGAGCCTGTTCCAGTGCCCAACCACCCTCTGGGTAAAGAACCTTTCTCTAATATCCAACCTAAACCTCCCCTGACACAACTTTAGGCCATTGCCTTCAGGTTCTGTCACTGGTCACCACAGAGAAGAGATCAGTGCCTGTCCCTTCTCTTCCCCTCATAAGGAAGTTGTAACTGCAATGAGGTCTCCCCTCAGTCTCCTCTTCTCCAGGCTGAACAGACCAAGTGACCTCAGCTGCTCCTCATACAGCTTCCTCTCAAGGCCCTTCACCATCTTCGTTGCCCTCCTTTGGACACTCTCTAAGAGCTTAATATCTTTCTTATATTGTGGTGCCCAAAACTGCACACAATATTCAAGGTGAGGCCACACCAGTGCAGAGCAGAGCGGGACAATCCCCTCCCTTGACCGCCTGGTGATGCTTTGCCTGATGCCCCCCAGGACATGGTTGGCCCTCCTGGCTGCCAGGGCACTGCTGACTCATATTCAACTTGCCATCAACCAGGACCTCCAGGTCCCTTTCCACAGCACTGCTTTCCAGCCTCTCATTCCCCAATCTGTATGAACATCTGGGGTTGCCCCATCCCAGGTGCAGAATCCAGCAGTTTCCCATGTTGAACTTCATATGGCTGGTGATTACCCAGTCCTCTGATTTGTCAAGGTCTCTCTGCAGGGCCTCCCTGCCTTCAAGGGAGTCAACAGCTCCTCCCAGTTTTGTGTCGGGCAAACTTGCTTAGTATCCCTTCCAATCCTGTGTCCAAGTCATTTATGAAGACGTTGAAGAGTACAGGCCAAAGATGGAGCCCTGTGGAACCCCACTAGTGACAGGTCACCAGTCTGATGTTACCCCATTCACTATTACTCTCTGTGCTCGACCTGTGAGCCAACTGCTCACCCACTGCATGATGTGTTTATCCAGCTGTGGGCTAGACATTTTGTCCAGAAGGATCCTGTGAGAGACAGCATTGAAAGCTTTACTGAAATCCAGAAAGATTATGTCAACTAGCTTCCCTTGATCAGCTAGGTGGGTTACCTTGTCATAAAAGGAAATCAGATTTGACATATTTGAAGATGAGAAACTCCCAAGTGGCCTACACCCCATCACATCCACAGCACACAAAGATCACACTTCTCCACTTCTCTGAAGAGAGAAAAATTCAGAGGAGAGAGAAGGTGGGCCCCTTTAACAGAGAGACATAATTAACCATTCCAACAATTTATCAAGGTTTCTCAGGCATTTCCAACCATGGCAATTTTAAATCAAGGTTGGATGCTTTATTTCTGAAATAAATGCTCTTGTTCAAACAAGAATTATTTCAGGGAAGTTTCATAGTATATGTTGTAAAACGAGGTCAGACTAGATTATCACAGTATTCCTTTCTGGCATTATAATCTATGAATCTATAAAAGAGAAAGGATTTAATTGATGAAGTTTAGCCCCATTAGCCCCTCATTACCAGATGACATTGTCATCATTACTCTCTGACTCCGTATGACTATAGATCCAAATTCAACCTTTTCTCTCCCATTTTATATCTATGATATACACACATGGTTTCAAGGGATTATAAAATCCACTCTTTACCTTTTCCCTGCATAAGTACATGGAAAACATTACAAATTTCAGAATTAACCTATTTGCAGGGCTCTGACACTTTTTTTTTCTTCAAAAGGAGTGGCTTTTTTCTCAGTAGGTTTTCAAAACAAATGAAAGGAACATTGAATCAGACTGAACAAGGACATCCAAGGATTGCTATGATTGGGGGGGGGTGGTAAATGATGTGCAAGAGCCATGCCCAGATAGACAACATAAGTTTACTTTTTCTTAGCCCAGTGACAATCTTAAACAAACCCCTCATCTGGATATGGAGATGATGATAACACTGCTATGAGGGAATGATGATTTATGAAAAGTCTTGTTGAAGCCTGGTTTGGGATATCATGTAAATTCTGAGCAGCAATTTCCTTACATACATTTCTAACCCCCCCCCGCCAAGTTTGCAAAAGAAACCAGGAATAATTGAAAGCCTTCAGACATTCCATTAATTTTATAGTTACTCGTATCAAGTCATTCCAATTAATATATGTGGCATTCACTTTTTAACTACTCCTCCTTTCCAAATTCTGTCCTCAGACGAGAAACAGCACTTAAGAAACTGGACTGTAGTGGAGCAGGTATTTCATCTGGCATCATTACAGGCAACAAAGGAAAACAATCTGTTGAGTTCTCTTCTGTTTGGATTGGCCTGCTGCTGAAGAACTACTGCAATTTAGGAATATCTCAGACATGTGAAGTATATAAACAGAGAAAATGCAGATGAACTAGTGAGTTGACAGAAGTCAAAGGCAAAGCTGGTCATTTTATTTCATTCCAAGCATAGTCTCTCTCTCACCCCATTTCTTCATTTCATAGTGCAATTTTTATTTTTACTAGATAAGAATGATTAAGCGCAAATGCACAAATATATTTCTAAAATGTTGAAACCAAGGTTTATGGAGACAATTCCTTCAGGTATAGATGGACCTGTCTTCAACACCTGAAACAAGAGGTTGAACCTTCCTGATGCTCGACAGCAGTCAGCACTGGGTGCCTCATGTCCACGGCTGCCTCAGCAACAGGCAGCTCTACAACAGCGTGCATTCACCAAATGGAGGACACACATCAAAAGCCTTGCCTTTATTTTTCTCTTTTCCAAATTATAAAGGCTCTTTCTCTCTTTCTCAAATGGGCAGCTGAAGAATGAATCCGTGCCCCATTTTCAACAGTTTGCTTCTCAGAAGAACAAAGTAAAGAAAGATATTTATAGCTCAAATCTAAAGTAAACCATACCTGAGAGGCCGGATTAGACAAAAGTCCTTTTTTATCTCAGGTTTTGCTACAGATTAGGGAAGATTAAGACAGCATCCTGTTCTCACTGTCGTCTGAATGACTGCAGCAAAGTGGAAGTTTTAGCAGACTCCCATTAACATGAAAGGCCAGGAGTGCTTAAAGGTAGGCACAAAAGAAGTTTTTCTACCAGCCTGTGACACTTCCCAAGAGCTGACAACAGAGAGAGTTCAAAACAAGTAGTTTGGGTTAATAGTGTACTTGCATGTAAATACATAAAAGCTTCAGTGCCGTAAAGCTAATTTAAAAAAGGACATTTCTCTTTATAGTTCCCCTGAGTATAATAGAAACTATGATATTCTTTCTACCATAATGTACATTTCATTAAAGAGCTGGAGCTATAATTGTCTACATCAGTACATGGCAGCAGACTGGATAAATTGTCCACATAAATTGCTTAATACAACTCGGAGCCCCGTTCCAGAGAGCTGGTGACTCCTACAACTGCATCAAAGAGTCCTACCTGAGGTTATGCCACTACCTGCAGCTCCACAGAGCATTGGGCGGACCCAGAATGACCCCAAAACCCATAAAACCACCTGGTGCTGAACTCCACAAACACCACATTAAATATTTAAACGCATTCACTCCCTTCCACAATGGTCACGACTATGCGCCAGTAATATTGAAGATTTATCTGAAAGTTATGCATATGAAGTGATATGCAGGCTATTATCATTCTTAATAAATCAATAAAGTCAACCGAAAAATTAAACTGAGCATGTTTGGAACATTTGACAGCAAATAAATTTCGGTCTCTTAAGTGCGTCACTTTCATTGCAATTTACTGCCTAACCTACAAGAGGGTTAAATCAGAAAAGTGAACAGAGCAAGAGAAGAGGTCTCAGAAAAGGAACTACAATGCATCGAATTGCAATTTACCAGTAAATCAGCATGGCAGAAGGAAATGTTTGTCCTAACAGGGCTGTTACATTTTTTTTAAGCCAGTTTTGTCTTGAACTTCAAGTTAATATTCATTAATGGCAATTTTAGGACTGTACTAAAATATAAAATATACTACAAATGTAGATATGTAATTTCAGTGGTTTAAGGTTTCTGTGCATTATTCCTCATAAAATATGAATGCTCTTATCAACTTAGTAGGTAGGATGCAAAGTATCTCCTTTTAAGCTGAAGAGTAAAGAGGGAAATCTCAGAGACAACATGTAGACTCAGCATTCTCCCAACTGAGTTTTTTTATTTTAACCACATTTTGACTTTCTACAAGATAGCTTTGCATGAAGGATTTAAGTTTTCCCATTTTTTTCATCCTGCAGCAAAAAAGAGAACAGAATCATTTAGAACGTAAGGTCTCTGAAATCCTACATGAATGCAGCAACGAATAGTGGGCACTCATACACAGCACTTATATAAACATAT